TAGTAAATCTTTTACTTTATTATTCTTCTTATCTGTCATTCTATTTAAACAGTTTCTGTCTCTTTTATTACTATACTACCGATTGTTTCATGAAATTAAAATAAGTTACTATAGCGTTGATAAGTAATAAAAGAAAGGGACACTCTACAAACTGTTTAAATAGAGAAAGATACACAAAAAAAAACAGTGTTTGTTACCTGCTACTAGTCAAGAAAGATAAGGTCATCCTTCTCTTCCTTGTGGTAGATATACGGGTTAGTAGATTTATTGTTCCAGTAATAAATAATAAAGTAAATGATTTACAATTTAAACTGAAGCGACTATAGAAACTTTATTTAGCGTATNAATAAATAATACAATTTAGGACAAAGAGCCTATCCAAATCTATCTAGAGGATAAAAACTAGTATTTTTCGGATGACAAAAATAAAACGTCTGCACGATAGCCGTAATTTATTTATGGTCCTCAGTATAAAATATCTTTTCAACGACTACCCACTGGGGGTAACTTTCTAAAAGTTGGCCCTGGTGTAAAGAAGGACATTAAAATAATTAATTAGTTACCTCAGTTTCATTCACGACTCCCGAGTTCCCCAAAATATTAATTACCAATTTTCATTAGGTTAGGCTTTTTGTTATATTTATTAAATTATTATTATTGCTGGTGCTGTTTTTTTTTCTTTTTTCTCTGGTAGAATTACCCAGAACTATCAATGGGAGCATTTAGAAGAAAGACTGAGAACCGAAGTATTTGTATAAAAAGAAAGAGGTGGACATGATTGCAAGATGTAATGTGAGAAATTAAAGCAGAGGTAAGATTTAGATAAAGGAGGAAGAAAGGTTATGTAGAATATGTGAAACGGGGGGTGAAACATTGATGCAATTCTGTGTAGTATAATAAAAGTAAAAACGTAAATGAATATGGATGAAATAATAGATGAAAGGGGTAATGAAATAATCTTTTTAACTAAATTCTGAAAAAAATAAAAGCTCTAGTTTTAAGTTATCGGAATATAATGTTTGTGTAAATTGATTATTTTCGTCAAAAATATTTCAATTTAATTTTCTAAAACTGATCCCTATTTTTAAATATTTAATCTACGCCCCTGATAGGAATACTGAAGAAAGAGGGCTGCAATTGTTATACCTAAAACTGCCTACTTTTACCACCGCGCATCCACACCATTTTAAAATTTCCGTCAGCTTCGAGCGTCAGGCCTGTACATTTATTGCTCCAGTAATGAATAATAAAGTAAAGGAATTATAATTTTGATTTTTTAATCCAAAACCGGTAAAATTAAACTGAAGCAACTAACATGCATACATATTTTTTATTAAGTATGCACTTGTGTATGTAATACGTATGTAAACAAATTAACAATTAGTCAGTGGTAGCTGCTAATAAAAGGCACACTGGCACAGTCCTTTTTCTACTTTTTTGTCAATTCAGTATGTAGTATAGTACTTATTTACGTAAGCGCTGAAGTATTGTAGTATACCTTTCTTTATGTAGGTCGATACAGTTATAATACGAGTCGACGCATCATTGGTTTATGTACTCAGACTATTACGTTACTTGTTTGATTGCTTATACAAATGAATAAAAATAAATGAGGATATTTTTGAAAAGGGTAAAATTTAGAGTTATTAAATAAAACATACAAATAAAATGAAGTACATGTCACGAAGTCTTCCTTTCTCACCGTAACCTTGTAATCCTAAACAAATTCGTCAAAAAAGAAATTAGTAAAAAAAAACATATCTACTACAAACGAAACCGGGTCCTGGAGCAACAAGGCGACCGTTCATTCAGCGTTATTTCTTACTACGCGTAGGGGTACCTACCCACCTACTGAATCCTCAAAATAATCCCTGGTAAGAATTCGAGTACGAGCGACCAAAAAATGGTTACTCTCATTTGTCAATTATAATTGGACCATCTCTGTTCTATGAGTAGACGCTAGATAAATTAATGAGATGCATGAGTATCAAATAACAGGAAATACCGTAACCTTCAGCGCTTCCTTAGTCAATAGTTTGTAAGAAGCGTGTTGGCTTGATGGTACGGATGCTCGACTGGTACACCGGGTCCCAGGTTCTATTCACTGCCGATAAAGTCCTCTTTTGTTTATTTTTACTAATTTCTTTTTTACGAACATGCTGCCAATCATAACATTACGGTAAGAGAAACAACACTCACGATGTGTCTCATTAATTTATTTCCAAGTTTCAGCGTGACTCCAACAGAGGACGAATACGATCGCAGGCATTCCTATCTTCAATGACTCGTGATATAACTTCACCGGTAGAGATAACTCGATCGGCCAAGGTAACTCGACCAATCGAGATAAAAAAATTACACTATGATTCTGCAGTGTTGTCAATTCACGCCTAGGGCCGACTTTGGATTGTAACTTAATAGTTTTTTTACAGTTTTTTTTGTCCCTTTACTCACCATATGATTCCCTATTACTTTTAATTAACACCCTCCGAAGCTTGCTACTTATTTCAGAAACACCCTGTATAAAAATCGGTCTATAACTTTCTACGACGACGATGATTCCCAACCTCCATTATGTGAAGTGAAGTTTGGCCTCTAAAGGACAGGTTAGAAAGAATGCTTAAGGTGGTAGAAATGGATTTCAGGAGAACAATAGAGAATAATGGGAATCGTAAGACTTCGTAGTTTTAGCAGTTTTTTATACATATTAATTTAATCCTTTTTTGAAAGAAGTTTAAGCATAGAAGAATGCATGTGTCATTTTCAAACGTTCGGAACAATTTCGTAAAAATATTTAAACTATTTAAAGCTACGCCACTAGCTGATAATTCAATTATTTTGACATCACCATTGAGTAGGTACGTTTCAAATATGTATTTCCCATTTTATGTAAATTATTGTTATCTAATACTAATTTTAAATGAATGCAATAAATACAACTGTTATCAGCATATAATCGGAAACAATTGGTGGTAAAACTTCCCTTTCACCACTTTTTCGGAAATATAACTTTTTCTGGTTGGAAATGGCTTAAAATGATCTAATCATGAAAAACTTACATGAAATAATAGGGAAGGTGTTTTTAGTAGATTTTATTGAAAATAATAATTTTTAGATTACACTTCACAGTTAACAGTTCATTTTGGCAGTTGCCGTTAACGGTTAAACGCCTGTAGTACTGCTTTTAGTTGATTGATAAGAAAATCAGATGAAAAAACAGGGGGAAGGTGTTTTNGATATATATATAGTAAGTTACATTTACTGGTAGTACAAATTTGTCACAAACATTTCTATAAAAAATGCAGCTGTTTTGCTGAGGTACGGCGCCAAGGTAAAGCGTGGACAGCAGACAGTAGTGCTTTCGGAAAAGATGCCGGTTAGGTACTGGATGATGGCATTGCCATTGCTTAGCATTCGGGAGGACGCCGGTTCGATTCTGGACCAATAACAATATGAATCTAAAAAACGGACGACACTTCAATTTTATTGATATGTATTTGTATAAATGTACCTGGTATTTTGAATTTTTTTTCAAACGACAATATTGAACATTTTATTGTATTGAGATGTGTCAGGTAATTATTTCTAAAATGATAAAATACCCTCACTAACATTTTACAATTTAACATTTGAATGCTTCCAGTTTTGGTTAATAAATTCAACCTTCTAAAAATATCTCAACATAAACGAATTATTTGACGTGTGAAGGTAAAGACAGATTTAAAACGCATTTTTTTTCAAGGCAATCCATTAGATAAGCGACGTCTGCCAAGAAATATCTAACCTTCACGATTAGAATAATACGCGAAACGTTTAATACAAAATACAGTAGACAAGTACGTAATGTCTTATTGCAAATATAGAATTCTGCACGCAATTGTTTTATTGACACTTCACATTAAATTTTAAATGGGAAGCGGTTTTCTTGTCATTGTTTTTTTATATTATTGATTTTTTATCTATAGACGTTTTTATGATTAAATACCTTGACATTTCGATGATTAAACATAAACACCATTCCGCATATTACGAAAGCCACGGGCACCTGGTGTGGAGGTGTCTGACTAAGCTGCTTAGCTGCTGCACTGCCAAAAAGTTAGATATTTGTGTTTTTGCCACCTAATTACTATAATTTATTAATATAATTATTCGGTGTATTTACACCACACCCAACACTGACGTGCTATTGCAAAATCGCCTTTACCGGGCGTTTTGAGCTAAGTAGCACAGCAAATGATTATTCCAGTCTGGCAGAAACTCACAGTATTTCATTGGTGACAAGTGGAACTGGTACAGTATAGGTATAAGACAATAAAATATTTTAACACAATTCTAACAACAAAGTCAATTTGCCACTTTGACGACAAGAACAGAAGTATGGAAGAAAAAAACAAAATTACGAGGGGCGAGAAGCGGCGGGAAGTACCCCATAATACCCACACGCGAGAAAATTTACCGACCGAAAACAAGCGACGAGGAATTCCCCCTTTCGTTCGATAGACGCATACACGAGTTGATTGATCGCAGAGTTGTCAACCATATAATGGGATTTTTATTATCATATTTACAAATACATATGAAACTAATTAAATAGATTTTTAGAAAAACCCAAGTACACCTTAATAAATTAGCTTGTAAATGAGTAATATGTAAGCTTATATTTAAAGGCTTTCTTGATTTCCAATTCTTCCCATAAAATAAGTCTTTTTCTTACTACTTTGACCTACATAAAATCAGACAGTTAATTTTATCAATACCACTCTTATTAGGAAGGGGTTGAGTTTTTTAATAAATTACATTTATTACCTGAAATAATTTTTTTGTCTTAAACAGTTTAATTTTTTACAAATGTCGTTACTGTAAGAAGGAATTGAAATTATAATATGCAAATAACTAGATAGTAATTAGAGATTCTATACTCAGACAAGTATATTTTCGCAATTTCGTTTAAAAAAGGTGGTAACGGTCAATGAGCGCACACACCTTAATAACCAAGAGCTTCTTCTTAACACAAAAAGGTATGCACATAAGATTGTGTACACGCGGTGGTCACACACACCGTTAATTAAACGTTGGGTCGCTGTCGTGAGAAAACATCTCCATTTGTGGACATTCGCACCCATGTAATAAAGAAACAACTAGGTAAGCCGGTAGAATTACACGAATTATTCTTACCCGAAATGGTGCGAAGGTGCAGGCACGTCTATGGTGTGGGAGGCAGTTCGTTTGCGGTCTCCTGCCATATCTGCCAGACGGGCGAAGTCAGTGTCCTGATCGGCTAGACGAGCAGACTTGCGAGACTCCAAAAGACGGACCTCTTCCAAGCGTTTCTGAACTTCAAACGGACCCTAAAACAATGCAAAAAAGACATTAATAAAATACTTCTATCAATAAACGAACAAACAATAATACGGACGTGTTTTTTTATCATAGAAAGCAACAATGTAAAGAAATATAAAAACTAAAACCTTATTTATACCAACAAAAAGAATTAGCAAAATAGATACATTTGAGAACTAATAAAATTATAACAAACGTGAATTTATAAATATATTTAGGTATATCAAAACAATGTCTACACATTCAATATAAACATACTTATAGCGAATGAAAAAGTTTCTGTTATTCAAATAACTGCCTTTTTTAAACTCGTGGTTATTTGTATGCAATAANTACAGCATGTAATTTAAATGAATATTTTCGAAGGTATTACAAACTTAAAATGCAGGGACATAGCGGACAGAAACAAATTCTTCAATAACCTTATTTATACCAACAAAAAGAATTAGCAAAATAGATACATTTGAGAACTAATAAAATTATAACAAACGTGAACTTATAAATATATTTAGGTATATCAAAACAATGTCTACACATTCAATATAAACATACTTATAGCGAATGAAAAAGTTTCTGTTATTCAAATAACTGCCTTTTTTAAACTCGTGGTTATTTGTATGCAATTAAGACACAAACGACTTTTAAATAAAATTTTAGGGACTAATCTTCCAAATGGCTGAACATATATGAAAAAGACGTTGTCAGAAGTAATCTATGCCACTTTTTATCTGACTGTCTGTTTCTACGGAGTAATATTTGAAACGGCTGATTTTTTTAAGGCACATCTTTTTTACGCGGTGGAAGTGGCGAATAAAAGATAATATGCAATACGTAAATATTAAATGTTAAAATTTACATTATACAATATTTAAACAAAACTTATTTTCTAGGAATTAATTCAGGCATATTATTTGTTCTATATAGTTCTCGACTTTCAGGAGATATATGTATCCATATTAGATATTATAAGGACAAATTTTAGATTAGTTTAGATTAGCATGCCTGACCGAGCTTGTTTTAAGAAAGATAGAAAGAACGTTTCGAATAAGGCTGGATCCACACTATAAGGTCGATCACGGTTCGTTCGCGGTCAGATCTCGGTCTGGTAAAATATCAAATGAAAAACAATGTGTGCATTCATATTATCCGTAACAGTCAAGTTCCGGTCGAATCCCATTCTAGTCGCGATCAGTTTTGAAGAAATTTTGTTTGAGCGAGATCGAACTTGTCACGACATGTATGAATGCTCTTTTGTATCCGGTTCAGTCAGCTATTACCCGTAGAAGCGACTGTTGCATCAAATGTAATTAATGTACATTTGAAAGATTTTATTAAATTCCTATTGAGTAATTGAAAAAATTTATTATTTAAGTTAATTCTAAGCACTAACGATGTCTAAACCAAAGTGGACTTTTGTGTGGAATTTTTCTTCATCATTAATTAAATGACGATAGAGAGTGTAGTATTCTCCTTCCGTTTTTTGTTGCAGTAAACTTGGATGCAACCACATTCTTCTCCTTCATCAAGAATAAAACATATAACAGCTAATTCTTTAAGCGAAAAGTCCAATGACATTTTTGGGCCGCGAATATTACAAGATATTAAATACTTATAGGCTTATTTTACTATTAATTATGAGCCAAATACATCCGACTTCGATTATTGACGGTTTAAGAATCGTAAACTGAGTCAGATTGTCTAATGTGAACCGTGATCAACCTTATAGTGTGGATCCAGCCTAAGACCTTAAAAAATAAAATAGTTAAATGGATGAGATATACTTATCAGTAAAATATTGTATTGCATGATTATGATTTAATTAATTAGAATAATAAAATAACAGAAATGCAATTTGAAATAATTAATTTGAAAATTCTTACAAAAGCACATTTATTTTACTATTACACACAAAAGTGCAATCATTTTTAGATTAGTCCAAGTATAGTTTTTATTTAGTCTTAATTTTTGTTTATATTAGTTATAGTTTACTTTATTTTTCGCAAAACTATGCCTCTACAGGAGGTGAAGTTTAAATAAAAATATGAATTTAAGTTTAACGTTACAACGTATTTTTAAAAACAGTCGTAAATTATTATTTGTAATAAAAAGACATAAAATAAAGCTCCCGGTAAACTCTCAACGTGTTTGATTTTACCCCATAACCTTATATTAAAAACCAACTGAAACTGCTGCATTAAATAATAACAGGCATACTTTTATTTATAAATGTAGAAAAGGGCAAATGCGTTGTAAAATGTTAAACCTAACAATCAGAGCAATGCAACGCCGCGCCGTGCAATCAGCTGTTCACGTATTTTAAAAAAATGATAGTATCGTTTACGATGTGACGTATGTCTACCGAATATAGAACATACAAATTCAGCCCGCACTAACATACACACAAATAAACAGTAAACATACGTATAAATCAGAAGGCCGTAAGGTGTGCAGCAGCAGCCATTTCAAGGTCGAATTGTACAGCGTTCATAAAGCAAATGTGTGCATGTACTGCGAAAGAAAACAAACATATCTAATGATAATGAGATAATGACGTAATGACGGGAAAAAGAACGTTGCGATCAAAACAAGTTTATATTTTTTTTTATACAATGACTTTGTTTCCAAGAACAACGTAACGAAAACAAAACATACGCTCAAACTTGTTTTTGGGTACAAAGTGAGAAAAGTAGATAGTGTAGGTATACTGTTTATTAACAACAAGTCAAATGAACCTTTTTCACTGATCCATCTGACGCAAAAGCACTTACACCTACACGGTTTGCAGTTATTCAAAAATAATAGGTGTAGATACCCTTTGTTAATAGCGATGCATTAGTTCACTCTGTTTTTGAAGTGAAACTTCTTTACACACGGTAGGGTAAGTTCGTTTCATGCGAGTTGCTATGTAACGAAATCATGCAACGGATGTCCCTCCTCTACTCGGCCACGTAGTCGAGTTGGTAGGGGGGATCGCTTAAGCCGTGAGCGCACCTCAATGCAACGTTCGTTACAGGCAACTCCGGCATGTATAGTGTAGCCCTAACAAAATGTATGAATGTATTTGTATGTGGTTGTGTATGTGTGCTACACTCTACAGTCGAAACGACGCCACTGACGCCAATTCCTTAACCCCTATCCCGGTATGTTTGTGTATTTGAAGATGTTCACTTCAATAGCGTGTTATATAATTACACGTTGGATTTTTTTGAAGTGAAATTTCTTTACGCACGGTAGGGTAAGTTCGTTTCATGCGAGTTGCTATGTAACGAAATCATGCAACGCGCATTTCCTCCGCTGTCTGTCCCTATGTATGCTTACATTTTTAAAACTACGCAACGGATTTTAATGCGGTTTTTTTAATAGATAGAGTAATACAAGAGGAAGGTTTATATGTATAATACATGCATAATATAGTAGAGAAACACTGATAATTTTAGAGGTTTGTAATGTAATGTCGTAAATAAACACATTTTTTTGCGCATACATTGCAAATGCTGGCTGAACCCTACGAGATAGATCAAAATAATGTACTAGAGTATTGTACACCTTAAAAAGGTCTACAAAAAAGTCCGCGATGGTATATGTCTATCTCTTAGGGATAACCCACAATAACCATTTTTATCCTTTACTTTTTATGAGAAATAATGACTTATTTACGAAGCGATTGTAGGCAATACAGCATTAATTCTTATCCAATTAAGTACCTTAAATACATTGTGCATTTAATATAGATCAATATGGCCCTTTACAGCATGTAATTTAAATGAAT